GCAGCGGGCGGCATGACTTTTGAGACGTGCATGACTTTGGAAGTTGAGAAAGATGAGAGAAACATAGAGAAACCCAAGGGGGGTGGGACGTGTTGGGATGTGTTAAGGACTTTGAGTTCTTTGGTATTGTTCTTTAATCAGCATATCAATCAGTAATGATCTATTGGATCTGCTAATGTGGAGATGATATACAGTTGGTTTTTCCATACTTTCAGCCATGCACCGCACTTTCCAAAAACGAGCTGCCCTTCACTCTTCGAGTCCAAATGCTTCGATCTTTGCGGCTCCGGTCGCGCCGCCTGGGTGTGCCCAGAACATGGCCGGGCCCCCGCGGAGCATCGCGCGGCCGCAGCGTGCTGGTGGGGCTGCAGGTGGGGCTTCCCACAGGACTACTGAGGTCGATGTCAAGGCCAGTGGTCTTGTCCTCGATCCGGAGCTCTGCTCAGAACGACCACCCGGCCATTCACACGTTCCGAGTAGACGACGACGGCACGAACATTCGTCTGAGCGCACGGTGAGAACGTCCACGAATGTCCTTGAACACTTCGGTGGTGATCGTCGAACTGGACGAACGGTGCGAACGGTGGGAATGACATTGGGACGTCTTCCCAAAGAGGACCAACGATATCACGAACTGGACAATGACGTCAAGAAGAAAGCAACTCGGAGCTGAACCTTGAAGATCTCTGTCTAAACATTGATGTCAATATAAGAAAGATAATCGTTACCAAAAAACCATTGTCTTATTAACTTATGACCATATTGTCTTACTAAGGGTTTTTAAACTAACCGTGACTAACCAGGTCAATCGATTGTTTAATAGTCTTGGAAGGTTAGGATGAAGGCTATATACCCTAGACTTCCAAGACCATTATAAAAATGGTTGACCTTCTTTTTGAAATGAAAAATCCTTAGTTGATTCGGTAAAGCCTATTAAAATAATGGTTGTTGGAAGCCTAGGGTATATAAAGACTAGATGCCCTGACTAGGCTCCATGTTCCATGTTCCGACCAGGCATTCCTACGGTTTCCCTTGCCTTCGGTCGGTTCTTTTGACAGAATTGGACCTTGGAATGCAGATCATATTGACCTCCCCCAAGCTTGAGTTCGAGAACTTGACCATCCAACACTGTATACTTGGTGAGTCTGCGAACCTGCCTGCCAAGCTCGGTGCCTCCCTGTTGCAAAGCCCGGTGCCTTCAACCGACCGACCCGACCCGTCGCGACCCGACGCCGAGCAGCGTTGGAGACCGCCGACCAGTGCTTGACCTCGGCGGCTCGGAGGTGGCGCGGTCGTGGCGCGGTCGTGGCACTCGGGGGGGAAAGGCCTCACCTTGAAGGGTCGACCCTACTAGGACCCCCCCCAGGAGTTGGGTGGTGAATAATGGACACCCCGAATCACAGCCAGCTGAAGGGGCTATAAATAGACACCACGAACGGAGCGTCCTGGTAGGTTGAGAGATCCAAAAAAAAGACATGTCAAAAAAGCGAAAAAGGGCATCTATATTCAGAAATGAGGCCATGTGTCATGATGAGTACGTGATTATAGTATGGGGCAGGCTACCACCAAGAGTTCAGGCGTTGTATCAACAAAGACCCACAAGCCAACCTCTTCAATCGAAAGGGTCAAGAAACAACTCTACGACCCATCGCTCTACGTCTTCCAAACCAACGACCACACACAAGAAATGATCTCTAGAGCACCTCTCTCCCTCGAAAAAGCAGAGCACGTCTCCTCAAGTCTAACAACACATCTCCGCCGCTCCAATCCCAGACACTCCATGTATGCCATACATGCTTACATTACTGCTTACATTGAGGTGGTGCCAGGGGTGTCAATGGGGCGGCAGTCCTATGGCACTCCCATGGGTCGTGTCTGGGAAATCATGCCCTTTGTGCGACCTCGCCGGCAGGGGAAGTGCACTGGCACTGGCACAATCCGCGATGTCTCCGTCCCAGCGGCGAAGAAGATGGAGGGATCCCAAGGTCGCGGCTGAGCATAGGCCTCACGTCGGCGACCGTCGGCGACGATATAGGTGGCGTGGGTCTGCTCAACCGGACACTTGCGAGTGGGTTCCTATATGTGTTCAAAGCCAGACACTCCATGGGACTGCCATATATGCCTACATTGACCCCCCTGGCACCACCCCAACTGATCGGCAGTCCTATGGCAGTCCCATGGAGTGTCTGGGAAATAGAGAACCGAAGACGCTGAAGAATCCAAAGTAGACCAGTCTACCAGGTGTGCCAGGGCGTCGGTCATGTAGCAGAACTGCCGGTGCCCGAAATGAGGATGTTTAGAACCTTGCAGGGCTCCTGGCCCATCTATCTCCTCAGGTGGTTAGACACCCCCCTGGCACCCACCCCAACCATCGAACCTCAGGAGGTAGTTGGAGCCCTAGGGAACATCCACGTGGGATGAGAGGAAAGAAACACAACCCCACGAACTCCTGATGTTGGACTCCAGTCGCCCGCGCGACTGGCGTGAGGAGCTTTTGCCATCTGTGAGATTGGGGGGGTCATGCAATCAAGATTTCAGAAAGAGACTTCATCCAGGAGCATCCAACCTCCTCCCTAACACCTAAGAGATGAAAGCCAAGGAACCCTGCTTTTAAGCCAAGCGCCCAGAGGAAAAAACAAAACGAGAACCTGCAAGAACCAAGAGGCCCGGGTGCTGAAATCGCCCAACGTCAGATACGTCGCCGCGTCGGAGCCTCCACCCTGCCAGGTCGTCACCGTCACCGGGTTGGTCATCGGCAGGTCGCCGCGGGTCGTTGAGTCGTTCAGTGTGGGAAAGATGCGGAGATGCGTCTCAGCTGGTGAAGTCTCTGGGTGATGTTTGGGGTGTAAGAGAGAAATGGTAAGAACTACAGGCTGTACTCCCTGCAAACAAACATGGAAGTGGACTTCAACCCCCGGTTACTGATTGGAGGGGAAGAATGGTCTTTCCCAGAGCCCAAAAACGCAGGGTCCACTGCCGAGGCTTCTTGGAGATGTCCTAGCCCACGACTCAGGTGGGCCGAGCCCACCAGTCTGAGCAGCCCACATGGCCGACCGTTCCGTGGTCGGTCACAACTGGGATGCCCTGGTTGGTCACTGAACATGCACCAAATAGACCACCAGACATGGTCAATCTACCAGGGTGAGTTCCGGGCTCCAGGGGTTTTGACTCACATCCATATCATTGGGCCAGCCTTGCCAGGGGGATGTCTTCGTGATACCAGAAAGTTTGGTGCATTGGTCCGTGCCCCTTTTCAATCCCTGCCGAAGATCTTCCAAACAGCATCTTCAAGAGAACCTTCACTGTTGTATACTGTTGTTTCTGATTTCTTCCCTCTCCTTGTCCTTTTCTGTCTTTTGCTCTCTCTCTCTCTCTCTCCGTTTTATTACTCCCTCTTAATGTACTTCGGACAAGGCCTGAAGGAAACTGAGCTCAAACCAGTGCAACCACTGTCCCACAGCCCAACAGACTTCGCCCCAAACGGACCGATCCCAGTCCAACTTGACTGGCCGAAATGACTGGTCGCCTCTGTTGGTGGAGGTCGAGGCGGCGGCCTTCCCTGTTCGTATATTTCCCAAACGCGACTAATGGGACTGCCATAGGACTGCCGCCCCATTGACCCCCCTGGCACCACCCCAATGTATATAAGCATATATGGCAGTCCCATGGAGTGTCTGGGCTAGTATATAGATATATTAGTATTTGTAGTAATTATTGACCACTTCGATGGTCGTGACTTGAATGTTCGTAAGTCAAACAAGGCCAAAAAAAAAATCCCTCCTCTTGGGGTGAGAAAGATCACATCCTCGTGGCACTTCGGTGTTGTTTCCAGCCTTCCCAGGCCAAACCTGGTTGCCCGGGTCATGTATTCTAGAAAACGTGCGCGCTTCGAACCCGAAATCAAATGGTCTCGTTGGTGGTGTCAACTCACTTGAACCAGAGACCCTCGTCACGGAAAATCCATCATGCCCCAAAGCAAAGGTTCCACATCAAGCTGGGTACCCTTCCACCCAACTTGAAACCCTCGAAAGCTTCGTCAAGCCACTTCCAGATGCAACATCAAGCTCTCGGACACCACATGGTGCCTGGTGCAGCCTCCTTCGTATGCGACGACCCTGCTACTGCCCAAGGCACGCTGGAAGGTGGCCCGCTCCGTTGCAGCAGCTGTTGGAAGTGCCGATCCTTCCTGGTTTGGAGAAAAGCCGAACGGCCATCACGCCCCCAGCACCCTCAGGAGTTGGGTGGATGTCATGGACACCCCGAATCACAGCCAGTTGAAGGGGCTATAAATAGACACCCCGGACGGAGGGTCCTGGTAGGATTAAGAGACTCATGAAACATATGGTAAGAATACTAAAAAATATTCGAGGTTTGGGGATGTACCCAATTCGGGAGAAGTCCAGAAAAATTCACCAAGAAAACGCCCCCAAATCCGCCCAAACACCCGACCACGGTCGCTCCGGCCACGTCCGGAACTCCTCCCCCCCAGCAAGGGGAGCTCTGGCGGAGACCAGGCGGTACCCCGATGGATGGTGGTGTCGCATGGTGTCGAGGGGAGCAGCTCAGAAGCCCAAGACTTCTTGATGGCATTGCAACCCTCCACATGAAGAGCCTTCTACCATCCATGTCTGGTTGCGGGAGGTTGATGATGCTTGATGAATCAAAAGCCTACATCAAGCGCCAAAAACACCCACAAAACTGGGAGCTGTATCACACCTGTTAATTCAACTGGTCCAGTCAGTCTGCCTTCCCTTCTGGTCGGGGGGGGTGGGCTGAGGAATTGGCTTGTATACTTTGAGACGAACCCATATCCCTAACCCAAACACTCCATGTATGCCATATATGCTTGCATTGGGGTGGTTGGGGGGTCAATGTAGGCATATATGGCATACATGGAGTGTCTGGGTACTGATCCTGCCTCAACTTATGATACATCATGATGCCCATATTCCACAACCAATGCCGCGGGAAAACATTTGCAGGAGGGTGTCTTGATGCGTCTTAGTGACCCCCCTAAATTGATCCTAATTGAACGATGTCAACCCATGTCAACCCTTCCCCCGCAAAGAGCCCTTGCCCAAACACTCTAAATGTAATTACGGAATCTATGGCTACAGTCGCCCCCCCTGGCACCAACCAAAGGTCGGCACCAACCCCCACCATGGGTTGGAGCTCCACCCTTTCCCATTCTAATTCGTGCGACCTTAAAACCTTTTTCTGTAGTGCTACCCAATAGAGACCCACCCCTGCAGTGCCCGACCCCCTGCGCCCGACCCCCGGTGGCCGATTGGGCCCAGCGGCTTCATCGCCTTGAGCCTCCGCAGCTGGGGCGAGGCCGTGTCGCTGTAGAACCTGGGCGGCGCGACCGGAGGGGCGCGACGCGGAGCCACCACCCACCCAGCTCATAGCAGCTCCCGAAAGGATGGTGGGAAAAATGTGGCTTCGCGAATTCGATGAAAGGATCCATACATCCTTGAGCATGAGTCCTTGCATGAATCCTTTTGACCATGAACATAGATTGACATCACCATTGGTCGACCCCCACCAAGACTGACTATGATTGTTGCATTCTATTTGGTCCTATTTGGGATCCCCTTAGGGTCGCTGCACCCGTCCGGTCGGGAACCCGTCCGGTGCTCCTAGGTCTACGTCCGCTCGCGGAGCTCGCGGCGTTCAACATGGTGTTGTCTTTTCTTTGCCAAGACGCGACGAAACACCTCACGGTAGGCCTAAGGCCTTGCGGAAAGCTTACATTGTTTTTTCTATGTTTGGCTTACGGTGACACATGTTGTGCTTACGGCGAAGGTATGCAAGTCCACCATGGTCACATATGATATGTTGTTGCAAAACATAAAGGAAACAGAATCAACATAAACAAGTTTCGCTTCCGGTAGCCTTACGGCATCGTTCAAGTCTGCACATCCTTACGGCAAACATTACGGACACCTTATAAACATCAGCTAAGATCACTATGTTCACTGATTTTTGGCCGGTCCCTGACTAAAAACAAAAGGGTGAATTTAGAACGCTGCTCAAGTGAACGTCCATTTCATCTGGAAAATCGTGTTTCCAGGACCTGACCGTGTGCCAGACTGTGGTTCAGGATCCATGTGGGTCGTGGTTTTCCAGGGTGTATCATCACTCTGATTGCCTACAGTAACGATGGAAGCAAACTGGCATGATTCCTTGGAAAGAGTCTATAGAAAATCCACTTCTATGTTAAGTGAGTCAGAGTGCACGTGGCTAGAACAAGAACCTCCTCCTTCCACTTCATGATATAGCCTCCGGATGCCGCAACACTAAGATTTCGGCCGATTTCGGAACGTCCAAGTTCCGATGCGCCTTCCATCCTCCGTTGCACACCATGTTGAAGAAACATGAAGAAACCCTCTCCAAAGGGATCCAAGAGAGGTTAAGTGATGTTAAGTGACTGTAAATAGGACCTGTAACCTGGGGTAGCCGGATATATATATATATATATATATATGGTCCTTCAACCTCTGTTGGATATTCTGGACATATTTCAAGGTATGATCCCCAAAACTCTCGAATGTCTTTTCTTTCTTCCCCAGAGTTCCCCAAACGCTGCTCCCAAGACCCGGCTTCTCCACTCGTTTGTCGCCCCCGATTCGTTCTCCTTTGCAGCGAGGGTTTCCAAATGTTTCCAGGTCTAGGGCCTGGCTGCGGCCTAGGGTCTTTGGAACTGACCCCACTGAAAACGATCCCATGCCCCCCTGAAAACCACTGGTGCAGCGACCGAGGAGAACGGTTCTGACTGAGGGTGCCATTCGACCTGAGTCCGTTTTTTTTCTCCCTGGAACCATCCCATGGTGACGTGGATGGCCGCAAACAAAGGACGTTGAAATCCGAAGACCCAGCAAGTAACTGCTTTCAGGGAGTGCAAGCCCCGGATCCGAGTCCCGCATGAGACCCACATGAAAACCACTGGTTTGTGGGAGGAAGAAGCTTCCAGTCTGCTCCATGCCATCAGGTTCCATGTGAGTCTCTGTAGTCTCTGTGGTGGTGTCCGACCTTTGGTAGTGACCCTATATATATACAACACTGTCTGGGCTTCCCGGCTCCTCTTCGCGAGGGGTCAAAACAATCTTGGGCGAGACTTTAAAGGCCTCATCCTGCGCAGGCGGGCCAAATGTCATGGAACTGGGTGACGAATGCCTTAGGGACTGCCTTAGGGAACAACCCCAAGTAGAGGGATAAACCAGCAGTCACATTGTCGGGGTGCTATTCATGGAGGAAGATCGGGTGTGCCCAGAAGTCACATCTACATCCACTGGATGGGACGAGCCACGCCTCCCCGATCTCTGTGACTCCGAAGGCCATTGGGTTGTAAAGGAAAATAGTCTTCCAAAGGTCCATGCCACGAATCCGTTTTCTGGATCCTCAAGTTTTGATACGGTCTCCACTTGCCACGTCTCCACGGTTCACAGGGTCATGTTCCTTTGTCGGTGTAGCTGCCCTGCTCAAAGCAATAAGATCTCAAAAAAAAAAATAGGCCAAGTTCCGGAATATCAAGATGTCTGCACAGCAGTCAATGGAAAAAAAATGGGAGGTGGGAAGTGGAAGGAGCCGGTTGATAAGTAAAAAAAACATATTCACCTGAAGAGGGAAAAATCACCTTAAGCAAAACCAGGCCTACCATGGCCTAGAAGCTCAAAGACCACATCTCCCATCTCCATGGGGCTTGGCATGGGCATTGGCCGGGTGCTGTGGTGCTTTTATCTGTGCGGCACTATGAGGTCAAGACGACCCGTCTGGGACTGCCATGTCGGACTGCCGATCCATTGACCCACCAAACCACCACCCCTGGCCGTTTTGAAGGCAGTCCGAATCGGCAAAGATGGGGGTGGTGGGTTTGGGGGGTCAATGGATCGGCAAATATGCCAGTCCCATGGAGTGTCTGCATGGGTAAATCAAGTAATGCTTGGAAGGTGATTTTTTTCCTCATGGGGGCGACCCATTGCAATCTCAACACATCCTGGGAGCTCTCCATGCTTCTGCCCACACGGCTGGTGCTCTGAAGTCCTTCAGGCCCAAGCGCTCTAAGGGATCTATGAAGTCCTGTCCGCCCACCTGCGCGCCGCGCGGTTCGGTGCGACCCATCCGCGGGGTGGCTCGCTCATCTCGCTCCGGTCTTTTTGAGGAAATGTCTGCGGCACGGCCGAGGATGTTCGCCCTTGACCAACCTTTTTCAATGCGAAGAAAAATGGTCCCAGCCGTCCTCTCAACACATCTCCCTCAGGACAACAGACTCTGAAAGGACGATCCGCCCGAAAAGGTGCGGATCGTAGCAAGACGACGAAGCCAAGATCCCGCACGCGCAGGACCATGTCGTGCTTGTAGGCATCCCAGCCTCAAGATCGCATTCTCTCCGGGTGGCCTCCTGTGGTGATGCGTGGTCTTGAGGATGGTAAAACCAAAGAAGCAAGCATTGAAATGATGATGTTTCAACATCATTGAACACATTAATTTATATATCAATCCAACTGCCAAACCAAGAATGAGAAACCATGAGAAAACCAAGAAAAGGGACCTGGACCCACGAACTCCAGTCAACTGCAAACGATCCGGGCACATGGAGTCTTTCCCCAAACTATGACATATTTACCATGATTTACCCATGGAGTCTTTCCCCAAACCAACCACCCCAACTGATCGGTACATATGCCAGCCCTGGGTCGACGTCTGGGCGACAGAACCTCTCATTCCCGGATCTCCGCTCGCATCCTCACCGGGGCGTCGCGCGCTCGGTTTGCCGCATCATCTGCAGGAGCCACGCATCGCTATAGTGCATCTCCTGCGTCGGCCAACCCGCATCGCTCAAGCCGTGTCTTCTCCAACCGGCCGGGGACGTAACGGAAAGTTGGAGGTCTGGGGTCGGATTGGCCCCAACTTCGTGGGAGCCTTTCCGGTTGGAGCATGGCTTGGATTTGCTCAAGGAACCTGGAATCATATCCAAGATTCCCTAGGAGGGGATTCAACCATGGGGAAAAATGTTAAACAAAAATCACCTGATAAGCAAAACCAGCCTTGAAAAAGAAGTCGGAACTGGGCGGTGTCTAAAATCCTTGAACAATGAGTGTTGGGGATTCAGACGAAAGTCGCGGGCCGGGAATCTGTTCCTAGAGCTTTGGGAAGCGGGGAAATGGTGGCTCCCCAAAAAACAGCTGAATCGCATATATATCCCAAACACGACCCATGGGACTGCCATATATGCCGCCCCAACTGCCGCCCCATTGACCCCCCAGGCACCACCTCAATGCAAGCATATATGGCAGTCCCATGGAATGTCTGGGTATCATATTGTATTATGAACCATCCTTCCACTCACACATCTCACCGATGGTCACAACCCTTTTGGGGAAAAGGAACAACGTTCCGAAGCCCACCTGCCCCAGCCGCGTCCGACTGTGCGACTGCCATGCCGTTCCGTACGTGCGGTCCCGTCGACCGGCCCACCGCACTGTCGAAAGGCCTGGGACAACTCCACCAGCGCGGCGACCAGCTTTTTCGCCAGGGTCCGTCGCAGGTCCTCGTCCGGACGAACGCGAAGGACCGAGGACGGTGGTCGGGTTTGGGGGCCCTACAAGGTCCAGTCTGACCCGGTAAAACCTGGTCTTTTAGTGTTTTTGTATGACCAAGTCCAGCAAGATGAGGTCATTGACCTGGGTTGGACAAGAATCCCGAAAAGTGTCCTGCTGGTGATGGGGATTCACCAACAAATAGGGGCTTCACCGGGACATTCGTTCCCTGGTGGTCATCTTGTATCAATCTTCTGAGGTATTAGGAGGGTCCAGTTCAGGTATTGCCCTAGCAAGTATGCACCTTTCACCGTGAAATGCCTTAAACTCCCTCGACATACGGTCTGTTTACATCACAAATCACCACAAATACCCTCTGGTGGGTTTCTACAATGTTCTCGCGTGGATTCCGCCGTTTGGCATACATACTACAGCCCTCCATTTCCCACCTCCATACCGCCTCCGTTGCTGGCCCCGCCTGCTTCTGAATCCTCAGTTATGAGTACATCGAAGGTGCAATAGGAAGTCTTTCAGGAAAACAATGGCAAGGCTAGATGATGCTTATAGAAGATGCCAAGATGTCATAAGATTTCCCACCCTTACTTTCTTCTGAATTCACTCCAAGACTTGAGTGGGTCGGGGTACCCTCCTCACCTGTGTCACGTCCAGCACTCTTGCTCCGCCTGTTCGGGTATTCATGAGGACATTCTGAGCTGGAGTCCGGCCCCAGGACCGTGATTCAATGGCTCAGTCATGTAGATCGTTGATGACCGAAAGCCCCCATGCAAGAGGTTTTGCCATCCATGTCTGGCGGAGGTGTGTTCTACATTCAGACGTGTCCCACCCTGTAGCCCCCCTACCCACCCTAAGCCCCCCAACCCCTAGCTCGCCAAGCCACAGGTACACCTCCGCAGTGCTCTCGGCCACCAGGCTGAATGGCCACACTGCCAAAGACACCGCGGGCTTGCTCTTGGTGGACACCACGCTCTTGGCGTCCTCGTCCACGGCCTGCGCCAGCTCATAGGCGCCATAACAGGCGAAGGCGGGCAACGAGCCCAGGTGCAGAAGCTTGCCACCTGAGAGGGGAGGGTCTGGCGGAAGTGGCGCGGCCCCTGGCGGAGAGGCAGATGGCTTGTTTGGGCGAAGCGGTGCAAAACAGATTTGCGGGGCGGTGGAGTTGTTCTTCGTGGTTTTTCTGCCTTGTAGGGGAGAGGTCTTAGGGACATGTTCGAGCAGCTGGGAGAAGGGTTGAGAAAAAAAAGCACCTTGTTGAACCCAGGGATTCGGGATGTGGATCGTTTGTCCAAACGGTAACAGCTTCAGGACCCAAACACTCCATGGGACTGGCGCATGGTTTCTTTCTATTGGGGTGGTGCCAGGGGGGTCAATGGGGCAGCATATATGCCCATAGAGTGTCTGGAAGATGCTTCAGGACGTGTGATTCTGACAGTGAAATTCCTCTCTTTTAGGCACCAGCCCGGCCGTTCCGGGAGCTGGTTCCGCACGGGCCAGTCCGTTCCCGCCAAGGCGCTCGGCGCTCGGCTCCATTTGGACCCTGCATCCTCGGCCCCCGAAGATTGGCCAAGGTATGTGCGGATTGGGCGTGTTTCATGTATAAGTATATACATGAACCCCAGGAATGTTCCTTCCAAACCCCTGGTTCTTTGGAGGAATCTTCGGAATCCCCTCTCCAAGTGTCCGCAAGGATTTGGGACTTGGGATCCCAGGCCGGTTTAAAGCAGGGGTCGGGGTCGGCCGCCGCCTGGGGTTCGGTGAAGCCTTCCTGGGTCTCTGGATGGAAACCTCATCGCTTCAAGCCCTTCCGTTCGACCATTCAAGAGCTTTGCTGATGCTGTAGTGCATGGCAAAGCCTTGATCCAAAAACCGGCGTTGCTCGCTCCTCACCCTAGCTCACCTCCGGCTTCGCGTCGGCTTCAGCTCTTCGGGCCTCCACGGACTCCACTCCCCACGGACTCCGCCGAGGCTCCGAGGACTTCGACACACTGCTCGCGGCGCCCCAACGAAGACTGGATGCCCGGGACTGCGAGGGTCGGGAGGGAAGCCCCGTGTGGAGGGAGCTGCGCACGGGGCGAAGCTCAGCAGCGGGTGGTGTGGGAGAAGCGTCCTGAAGACGTGGCGTGGTTGAAGCTGGGCACTGAAGTCAAGCCCTGGGAGAACAAGACTACTAGTACCCACAAGGGGTGGTTAATGGACACCCCTTAACCTCTAAGGGGCTATAAATAGACACGCCTTGGAGGGTCCTGGTAGTTGAATGATATTCTTGGTGATGACCAAGTCCAGCCTTTCGACTTCTAGGGCTGTTGTTCCATACACGGTACTCACTACTTGCTGCGAGTGTCCAGGGTCTGGTCTCTGGCGGGTTCGGATTCCACGTGTTTCTTGGTAGGCAAATGGGCTGCCAGCATGGCGAACAGCAGAGTCAGGGGGGCGGAGACCGCAAGGAGTTCCTTATTCTCACCAAACGAAGAGTGCTGGAACAAAGGCTATGTCCCATTCTGCTCTGCATACGCCAGGGTGTCATAGGATGTCCTACAATTTCTTGGTGTAGCAACGACCTGTCATCTGCTGGTGACACTCAGGTGATGGTAATGCTAGACAAGCACATATATTACATAAATGCACCAGTTTTACAGCCCTTCTTAAGTGGATGCCTCTGATTTCCACCGTCTCACTGAGTAAGGGCCTCAAGGAAAGCAATTTCTGCAAGTACGTCTTGGTCATACTGGTCGGCACCAGCGGCTACCAGGCAAACAAAAAAAGCCCAGCTAGCATGTATATAATATATCCAACTGGAAGGTGTTCCAGAAAACACTCCTATATAGTCGCCTCACATCTTCACTTCCTTTCATAAACGATGCCAAGCATACTTCTAAAAATCAAATTTGAAGAACACCCTCCACATCTTGGACTCCTCACCCCATGCTCCTGGCCTCTCGCTCCGCCTCTACTGCCCGCAGTTTCCTGAGGGCTGAGGCTTCTGGCAGCGACCGGAGCGTAAAAACGCACGTGTTGCAACAGGAGCTTCATGGAGGCGACCCTCCTGCAAATTAACAAGACAGCTCAAAACCACTACCTGGACCCTCCAACAGGTGTTTCCTGGTGACAACAGGTGCCCAGAAACCGCCTGCTAGGCTTCTAAAACCACCTGTTAAAAGGTCCTGGTATTGGTTATAGAGGAAACATCCCCTCCTCAGCACCCCCGTATAGTGCAGCACTCACCCCAGTCCACCTTCAACGTCGGAGGTGCTTGGAGTCCGAAACAGGAGACCGCCGTGTTGAAGCATCAGTGCTTCACAACGCCGGCCAGTGCTAAAGCCCCACTCGCGTTACTAAACAAGAAGAGCTGCTGTCATGGTCCAGGGGGGACGAATCGTGCGTCCACATGTTCTGACCACACTGTCAACCAAGATCGAAGCAGCCATTTCATGAAAGCCTTCTTCGACACGCGAAAAGCGGACGTGGAAAGCGATTCAAATCCAACACGTCCAACACCATGTTACAATGAAACACTCTTGACCTCAAACCTCGATCTGTGCGTTTCGAAGCACTCCCAATCGGTCGACCCCACGACTGACGGAACGCGCCAGCTCGGACGACGGCACCGTACCGTGGACCCGAAGGGGTCGGGCCGTGGCAGCCACCGGGCTTGGAACGACACCCAGAGGCCACCAACGAAGGGGAAAAACTGCGGAGGCGTCCGACTGGATGGGTCTTCGGCTCTGTCTGGGTCTTTGAGGTCCCTCAAACGCCAGATCCACCAAGCAGCTGCTCCAAGTTCAGGTTCAGGCTTTCTTATGATCCCCTCATCCACACCCCGTTGTCAAGAGCCTTCTCCCCACCCACCCTCTTTGTCAAGAGTCTTCTTATATTGTCTTCCATTGAAACTCACATGTCTTCAGGGAACCCTCCGGAGGGTGTTACTTCTAAGATCTTCTAAATTGGAATCTCTTTTGCTCGTCTTTGGTCGAAGACATCTGCCCCTTGATGTCCTTCAATTCGATGCCCATCTCTCCTCCCCCCATAGCTAAAAAACCCTCTCCAATATCTCCAATCCTTTGCCACGACGCAGGCGCAGCACCGGACACCGGACACCGCCTCCCTCCGCCGGATACCGCCCGGTGTCCGAAGTGCGAGACGCGGAACCCGCGGGCAGCGGCACCGGTGCCGAGACGCATTAAGAAGCCCGAGCGCACCAGCAGCAGAAACTCCACCGGCTCACCCTGCTTGCACAGCCTCCGGCGGCGCGGACCCGGGGCCCGGCAGGGGAGCAGGATTCTCTATCTTCGATCATTCAACAAGATGGTTCACCGCCCTTGGTCGTCTATTTTAGAGCCCTGCATGGCTGGGCTGAGCAGGCCTCACAGGGTGTGTCAAAGCAGGGGCATCCTGAGACTGGAGGCGTGATGCCTTTGTACTTGGGTTAATCAGTTCATCGGCATCCCCCCATGTTTGTATGGAGCATGTATAAGGAACCAATTAGGAAGCAAAAGGCTAACCATCTGTCGGCTCACTAGGTTTAGTTGGTGGCCTACTCATGAACAGATATCTCAGTGGAACACGCAGCATGTCTCCTTTCAAGATTCGCTCGTAACGATCTCCGTTGACCGTCCCTGGATGCCCCTGCCAAGCTGTTTGAACCCATGTTTTGCCTGGAGCCCTCTTGGAACACCAAACCTGCTTCTCCGAACCCCCTGGACACCGCTGTTCCACCCATCCCATCCGGCCCCCCCCCGGAACCACCCACGTCGTCGGGTCTGAGTGGCACATCCCTCGTGCGGAGGGACTTCTCGCGGAGGCACTGCGCCATGACCTTCACCTCCTGGGTGACCGGGCTGTGGTCACTTGGTAGGGCTGAGATCATCAGCCCAAACGAGGCCAGGAAACAGTTACGCACACCATCTTACACCCTCCTGGCATTGGACTCCAGAAGTCCAATACTAGTGATTCCTAGTGCCTTCTAACCTTTCCTAGGCACAGAGCCTGCCCACACCCAGCCACTGCTCAACCTGACCAGAGCTCCTGCTCGGTGACCTCCGACATGGCGATGGCACGCAGCATCCGGGGGCATTGCCTCAGAGATCGACTACCAGGTATATATAGCCGCCCCTGAGACACCCGTGGTGAGACACCCAAACAGCTAAAGGGCTATAAATAGACAACCCGAACGGAGGGTCCTGGCGCTTGGAGAGCAGCCCTGGCCATGCCCATCCCTGCCATGTACCACAGACCAGGGTTCTGTGAAACGACCTCTCGACCTCTTTTGGTGGATCCAACTTGATCCAACTTTCAAGTGAAGCGACCTGGGTGGGACAAGTCTCAGATGGGCTGAGGACCCCACGCCGGAGGAAACAAAGTATACATCAAATCACCCACAACAAAGGGAAAGATCCTAAAGGAACATACAAATCACCCTAAGCAAAGCCAGGGAAATTCTATATGTGCAGGTTCCCCGTATCCTGGGTCATTCCGACGTTTGTATTGAATGATCCACCTGATCGAATTGGAGCCTGATGGTGTCTTTCTTTGCGATGTCTGGATGCTGCAGACATGAGATGTTCAAAGAGACCATGCATGCATTCACAAATCAGTGCTTTTCATACACCCTAGGGCTCCAAATCCTTAGGTTCGGTGGTTAGACCCCCCTGGCACCCACCCCTGGCCCATATCCTCACCTCAGTTCGGTGGGCCAGGAGCCCAAACGGGACGGAGGAACCCAAACAATCCCTAGGGATCCCGTCGTACCTTCTCAGGTACGGTGATGTGTTCGACACCGCTATGTAGGTGCCAGGAGGGTCCAGTCGTACCGTACCTGAGGTTCGGTACTTACCTGGATCCCTAGGGAAGTCGAACTGCAAAGAGCGCCAGGACCCTCCACGCATCGAGCCACCAGCCTTCCACGGTCGCGCCTGCCTGCCAAGCGACCGGAGGAAGGCCACGCGCGCCTTCACGAACTGCTGGTGCTCGGCGCGGGCGAACTGCTGGTAGTGTTCCCGGCGCGTCACCAGGAACTCCTGGCGATCGCCGATCCGTTCCACCGGGAACGGCGAGCGCCGGCCTAGCAGCATCCGCGGCGCCAAAGAATCAGCGGCGTGGTTTGCTGGAAGCGGCATCCGCGGGGAGTTCCGCGCTTCTGGGAGGGTCGAATGTCAATCATATTGCCTAGAATCCTAGAACCTGAGTCACCAGCCCCAAAGATGGTCAAACTTCCTATCACGGTGTGGAGGTCCAGTCTGGTTTCTAGGATCCTCTAGCTGCTCTAGCCGAAATACTCCACTTAAACTAGAAATCTATGCCGGTCCGTTTGGGTTGCTGAAAAAGGGGTCCCATAGAGTGCCTGAAACATCCAGCCTTTCGTTCCAACACTCCATCCACGGACTGGACCCTTCTTTCACCCACCCCCAATCCCCATGAAATCGTCAAGAGATCTCCCGGTCGCTCGTCTCCGCCAGGTCCAGCCGGTCGAGTCGCCAGCTCACGTCGGTCCCCCCCGTTCCCCCGCCGTGAAGTTCGTGGTGATGACTGTGGCTTGCCGCAGGCTCGTGTCTTGCAGCGCCAGCCTCGGTCGAGCGGTCAGGGCAGACGAGCGGTGTAGTGCCTGGTGGTGCCTGGGTGGTGGGCGAGCCCCAACAGGCAGGTGAAACACCAGCTAAATCCCGCAGCCGAGCTCATAGTTGGTGGAGAAATGTGGATTTGCTGCTAGAACTGCAAACAATGAAATACAATAAACAAAACCGTAGTAAATACACCCTGGAAGATTAACATAGCACCTGAAAACAACTGGGTGGTAGAGGAAAATAGTCTTCCAAAGGTACATTTTCAGGTTCCATGTAAATCTTCCCGGGAGTAACCCCCGGAAGGGTACTCACGCCATTCAAACAAATCAAAAGGAAACCCGATCGGCAAAACCCAGGAAAACAATTCCCAAACAACCAAAAGAAGTTGAGAGACCTGAACTAGGACCCTGGTCTGTGGTACATATGGGATGGGCGACCTTAGGGCTGTTCAACCTCTCTAGGAAGGCTTTTGCAGGGCAGCTGATTCACTTTTCACTCTACCGGTAGGTCCAGGGTAGGTCGAGGCACTCACCAAAGCCGTGGCCTTCCTTGAGCTGCGCCACCGTCTCCATCGACTGGCGCGTTGGGCAGAAAACCCCGTCAGTGGGAGGAGAAGACTCGATATTATCCCCACATTCACAACAACCAAACGCCTGGCCAAGGTGTTCTGGTGTCATCAGGTTCTGGTGTTGCGAGGTGCTTTTACTAGAATGGTGCACCCCAAGACTCCGGGCCCGAATTCATGGAAAGGCTTTGGTTCGGGTCCGGACCCTTGGCGTTTCAGTGTCCGGCTCGATCCCTGCCATGAAGGATCCCTGCCAGTTCCACCAAGGGTAGAAGGGATTCCACCAGGTGGCGAAAACCTCCTGCGGATCATGTTGGGGAAAAGAAAGGCTTGATACTCCAGACACCCCATGTTTTATATATATGTATGCTATTATCCATTGCTATCCATGCCTACATGGACCCCACCCCGATTAGCTACGTAGACTTCCACCCGCACGGCCCCAGGACCCGGCGCCCCTTGCCTACCTGAAGGGCTCCCGGCTCCCAAGGCTGCCCTTCAAAAGGACGTCTCCACTCACCATCTGTCCACCTTCCTCTCTCCTCACGGCCCTCCTGTCCTCGCCTCCTCTGCAGGGGTCCAGTCGTCGGCCGCCTTTTCTTGCAGCGTTTGGACCATCACGGCGCCAGTGAGGATGATGTAGTACCTCACGAGCGTCTGACGGGTGCGGCTAAGCGGTCCGCGAACGGTTTCCCTGACACCTCACTCTAGGCTTCCAACGCTTTCCCTGGAAGTCCCAAGACTATGTGGCACCAGCACAGTTTTTGAAAAAATATCTTTGGGTCACTTATAAAACCATGTTCAAACATGTTCCAGCAAGTCTTGGACTCCCCCATGACTTGCAAGAAACCCCGCGGTGGCGAAACACGCGCGTCGCTTCCCAAAGGGCAGCAAAAGGTGGACTGGTCAGAGTCTTGGACGTTGGACTTGGCTAGCACCTTCCTTAAGGGGTCTCCAATAGACTACCCTACGCCCTACACTACTTGTGTATCTCCCTTTCTCACACCCCGAAAAAAGGACCAGGCAAACGAAGGATCATCTTGAAGGACCCAGATGTAAAAAGCATCTGATAAAAGCCGCGCATTCCCCCACCTTCAGGCCAAGTGGTTTCCGCCCACGCACGAAAAACGCCACGCACCAGTTGCGAGGAGCCGCGTGTGGGACAAGGGCAACATCCAAAGCCACCCCACACGTCAACATCCATCGCTCTAGCCCAGGCACTTATCCCCATGGTCGCCAATATCGAAGATCTGCCGAGGAGGAGGAGCGCATGTCGGAAGGAGCGGCCCAAACTGGAGGGTGAATCAACCCTGGGGAGGGCTTGAAGGGTCTAACTTAGGCATCTTCCATTGGCCCATAGAATTGGATGCAAACTGGGGTGTGCATTCGAGAAGGGGAGGTTGACAGGGTTTGATGTGACTGTCTTTCTTCCAGGGCGCCTTTGTTTGGGAGGTCTCTCTATGTTACACACCCGCTGGAACTGGCTTTCATGTGCCACCCAGTCAGCATAGCCCTTAGACCCCTGCAGTATCCTAAACTTGCTTTTGCTGAGAAAAAGACTGGAAACGACCATTATCATCCCCCCAGAAGAGGAACGGAACCACTCAGCTCGGTTCAAAAAAAAAATACACCCGATCCGTCCAACATAGTCCAACATAGTCCATGAACTTCTCACACCTTACTGCGGCTCTGGAAGGTCTCCAGGCTGATCACCTGAGCTTCAAAAAGCGATGACGGGGGGGCGGTGCTGTAATGATGGGTCCCTGCTTTGGTCAGGATCGGAGCCATGTACGCAACAACCAGGAGCATATATTATGTGTTTGCGTATGTAGTGTGATATGATCAGCAAATATGAGTCGCAATGAGCAGGCTACAAATGGCTACGCACCCTGTGGCTTCAACATGCCATGATGAACCAAGTTCTGTCTCGAAGGTTCCCAGTTGCATAATCGGTTTGGGCCCCAAAGGCAACAATGTTGGGAAGCCCTTGTCGTTCATCTAAGGAAAGCCTACCCACAAGCAATCCAGTCAACTCCTCAGATGTTTTGCAATGCGTAGGAGAAGTCCCCGGTGAAAAGATTATAAATTTTGCCCTTCAAGGCTGTTAAGACCTCAAACGTTCTGAATAAAATATGCTCCAGAGGTCCCCAACATCTCACTCCCAACCTCATGCAACAAAAGAATTCATGAAGCTCGAGACCATTGCTCTTGACACTTGACATTCCTTGACATCCCCTTTTCTTCCTTGGCTGTGTTCATCCGCTCCAGCTCCGCCAGCGCCCGGCGCGGCGCGGTGTTCGGACGCCTCGCAGAGCTTGCGGCGTTGCGCCGAGGGCAGCTCCGCGAAGAAGGCCACGTCCTGGACGAAGGAGAGGATGGCGTCCTCGGGCGCGGCCGTGCGCGTGGAGCGGACGAACGGCGGTGGTCGGAGCGGTAAAGCGTCGCTGAGGAACCGTGGGTGTGTGTTTTGGTGCCGCTGCTGACCAGTGACGAGGAACATCGTCAAAGAATGATGATAGACCAGCAGTCACAAAGGGATGCCTATTGGAGGATAGGGGTGCCCATTATCCACTCACTTAGGGACTAAACACCACCCCTTTGTGACTCCTGGGAAGTAAATTCAATGTATAATTATAGAATGTAATATATGGACAAGCCATCCTGCATGATGTAGACTTTTGATCAACATATCTCGACAACAAAGGCTTCATCAAAGTCCCCGTACACCGGGATGGCAAGTCGTTTTTAGACGTCTGGCTCGAAGGATGGAGATTCGGAGGGAGATGGAGAGGTCTTTCATCACTAAGTTGATGTGTGTCCCTAGGGCTCCAAGTACCTGCTCAGAAGGTGGGACTGGGGTTGGTTCAGAGGGTCCAGATACCTTCTGAGCTACTTGGAGCCCTAGGGTGTGTTAGGATGTGCTTGATTGTTCGTGGTTGCTTGTTAGGACCACTTTCCATGATTTGTGTTAGGATGTGCTTGTTCTATGCTGCCAATGTTTTGCCACTTGGGGTGTCTACATATGTTTATCATTATCTTTCAACATCCCGAATCACAGCCTTTCAGCACGCCCCTTTCAGCAGCCAGGTACTGTTGACACTTTTGGGGTGCCCCCCCCCCACCTGACCTGCTCACCTGCCTTCCACCGCTTGCCACCCCATGCCACCACCCTTCCTCCCGCACGACCGACTGCGCGCGTCTTCGTTCCACCGGGCATCGATCTGTTCTTCAGATCTCTGCTCCGCGGGCAGCACGCAGGCTTCTCGGATCACCTGAGGGCACACGACACCGGCGCCACCGGACGGGCCTCTCGGTTCCTCCTCCGAGGTGCGCGGCGCGCGGGACACCGGTCCGAGACGGGCCGGACGGGTTCACGACGGGTTCACGTTCACGCAGGCGGTCCGGTCCTGAAGAAAAAGAGGTCTTTTTGATATATACCTAGTTTTTATTATAGGAATCTATAGCCTGAAAGAAGTCCAGTTCACCTCCATTTTGCCGCAGCTGGAGTTGAAGGAGGTTCCTTATTGAGGATGTCTTATTGGAATGTCAGGGTTGTGGTATTAGGACACGACTTGGAGATACTTGGAGGATCTTTTTTTCAGCTTTTCTCTGCTCCCCTCCCAGGTCCCCTCTATCCGGGTGCCCCAGTGGGTGGTCGGGTGGTCGGATGGCTGTGGCCAGCCGCGATCTGGTCCTTCTTTCTTCGGCTCGTGCCCCCTGGCCATCCCAGTTCTTCTCCACTACCAGCACCCTCACTCAAAAGTCGCTCACCCCAATGTTGAAGTCGCTCACCACCCCCTGGGAGTCCAGTCGACTATAAAAAGAATGGTCTGATGAACGGTGACCCGAGTTCAGGCATTTCATTCAGTCCGTCAAAATATACCAGCACCTTCCAACAGGTCTCCTTTGGAGGATTGTTAGGCCCTAACAGGCTTCAATTGGTGACCTGTTGGAGGTGCCGGTACCCAACGGACGTTGTTTATAGACATCTATAGACTATCCCAGAGGTACTCCAGTGGGGTCCTGGTTCAGGTCACTTAACCTCTCTTGGACTCTTTTGGACTTCACCCGAAGTTCGGACACCTTTTTCGTCGACCCCTCGCTCCTCGGTCCGCACGCGTACCTCTCGACCGATCGTCTCTCGTCGTTCCTCTCGGCCGCGTACCGAGTGACGCTCAGCACGTGCCACGGCACCGCGGTGGCCGACATGGGGCCGTGGCACGGGCGAGCCGGCTGGGGTGGCTGGGTGGGGAGTTCCCCCAGGGGTGGAGGGGCTGTCGGGTGCTTCGGGAGGTCGGGAGTCCCCAGCTTTAGGTGATCTTCTGGTTGACTGCGTTGCTCTCCTCAGGGCCGCCGCGACATGTGCTCACCAGTGAATTGATGAGTTGGTGATGTCTTGGACATGGGGCTTTGGGGGTTTGGAAGTAGTCGGTGGCTGAATCACTGAAGGCCTGGGCTATGATCAAATTCCTTTCACTTCTGTCTCTATACTTGCTATATAATCCGTTTTTGTTGAAAGGGTCCAGAACTCTGGGCGGCAACATCTATGGGCAGTGACTACTACATGCCACCAACCCCCCCTCTCTCTCTCTCTCTTCTGCGTGGTCTCGCTTGGGCCTTCCTGACCTCCTTGGCTGATCTATCTAATGTGCTTCTATGCCCCTGGCCTTCCGAGACCATGTTCTCAAAAAGGCTGGAGCTGGTTTCGCCGTGTAAAGATCCTTATAGTATAGACTCATAGACACTGTCACTCACTCCTTACAGTATGTAAAAAACTGATCCAGTTGGTGCTTCGGGATACAGACCCTTCAATTCTTCAATCGCTACTGGGCCAGGCCATTGGAGGTCAGCTGCACCTCTTGGAGGTCAGCTGCCACGGGCCATCGAGCCGAAGGTCCGCAGAAGACGTGCTGGAATCACTGGGTGGAAACCGGAACACCCGGGCGCCTTTGGCGAAGACCTAGTCTGAAATATCACTGCAAATGGTCAAAGATTGCTAGATTGTTGACCTAAGACCTGGGATACAACCAATGTGTATAATATATATATATAAGTATTCATGATTATTTGCCCCTGGAAAAACCTCTGTTCCTCGCGAATTCTACATCACCCAGGCCTCTGTAGACATGAACCAACAGTGAGAGAGAGCCCGGAGGACCCGGAGGTTCGAGTCATCACTTCCTAAACAAATGAAGGTCATAATATAAAGGTTAAACATTCCTCGCACTTGATCCCTTTCAATTTAATTAAGATGTTTCCATGGGATCAAGTGTGACCCATCATTTATGTTTATACTTTATGAAAATAAATGATGGTTAGTCTATATGTGTCATTCTATTTGCCACTTAAAAAGTGGATAGCAATCTTTATTCTAAAAAGAATTGCTAGAATGGCTACGTTAATAATACAGTATATGATTGGCATGTGTTTCTCCTTGCATATGTTCATTAAGAATAATGCCAATAGACAAAATACGAAGGAAATGATGATAGATACCCTTGTTTGCTTGGATCGAGGACCTTGCAAAATGATATCCCTTCTGGGAATCATACAGGGGTCGATGCAAAGCGCCATAGACCTACCAGCACTCGACTCTTTAGAAGCTCTCCCCTTCCATGGCTGAAATGGATGACGACCCAAAGTGCCAGCTGGTGACCTTATATTGGGTGTGTAACTGGGTGTGTATGCTTCACGTTCCCGGGCCTGGATCTTTGACGTTCCCGGGCATGGGTTGTGCACTGGCATCCCTAGGCCTCAATGCCTCAGGCCATCCATGGAACATGGGTCCTTTGAGCCCTTCAGCAGGCAGCGATGACCTGGGGATTCCCCCAAAACTAACCCATCGAAACCATCCAAACCCGTGGGTCGCGCTTGCCAGCTACGCCTTGAGAGTGGGCCAAATTTTTGTTAGAGGGTCGATTGAAGAAAGCTTGAGATGTGCTTGTAAATTCCTCAAGCGCGGTGGTTTCCTTTCTTGGTGCGGCAACTGAAGTCTTGGCTCGGGAAAATCACCTTCGGCAGCGTCGGTTTCTCGCCCCCGCAGCATCGATTTCAGAACCACACATCGATGGCCATGCTCTGTTTTGCACCCACCGCGTCCGAACGGGTAGACCCTGAGACCGGTCTCAACAACTATCCAAACAGGGGCCTCCAAACAGGTGTCTGCCACACGTACACGCAGAAAGCACATACTGTTCATTTGAAGGGGGGGGTCTTCTAGGTTTGAAACCCTGACTCCTCTTTCATCTTAAATGGCTTTAATCATGCGTGCACCTCTAAAGGCGTGCCAAAAGAAAACACCCGCCTCCCGGTCCAGAATGATCAAAGACACAAGCCAACCCACAAACCCATGTCTTCCAGCAGTCACAAAAGGGTGCTTAATGGAGGTTAGGGGTGCCCATTATCCACTCACTTAGAGACTAAACACCACCCCTTTGTGACTCCTGGTTTGTGTCTGTTTTTGGACCACGTCACCTGAAACTCCCAAAAACACCTCTCCTCCCCGCGCTCGCCTGTGCACATGCTGTGAACTGCGGCTCGATCTGGAGGTAGGGGGGCGTCGCTGGGCGGGCGCTCCCGCCGCAGGTCAAGCACACCGCAAGGCCCGCTGTGACTCCGCTTGTGCACCAAGGGTTTCTTGATCCCAAGGCCACAGGTTCATAGAGCTTCAACATGCCTGATCATGCAGCCTCAGGAAATGAAGTGCTCCAAATACCCATTCACCATCCACGGCTCTCACTGAGCAAGTCGGACTGAGTTGGAAGGTGGCGACCGGTCCAAGCACCCCCCCGAATGCTTCGTGCACCGCTTCTTCGTGCTCCGCTTTGTGACTCCGCCCCGGACGTGGAACGTAGGACCGGGTCGGGGGGAAGGTGGTGCGGTCGGAAGGTGTCTGGTTGGATAGTACTACCCTCCGACGAACACATCACATGGTTACGTGGATGGCATGGCCTCTTGGAAGACGACGTTCCTGTACAAGCAGGGTGTGCCATCCACTTCCATGTGATGTGTTCGCTATCCCATAGACTCCACGGGACTGCCATATATGCCGATCAGGCCAGGGGTGGTTTTAGAGGTCAATGTAGGTAAATATGGCAGTCCCATGGAGCGTCTGGGTGTAGGGATCCTGGTCGCATGTCCTCAGAAGGTGGTAGCCCTGCGAATGATATGTACCACCCTCCTGGCCAGGCTGTTTGGAGACCACAGGTGGTTTCTGGGCACCAGACTGGTCACCAGGAAGCACCTGTTGTCGCCGGGTGCTGGTATGCACCTCGACCATCCTGTTTGGGTGTCCTGTCTGGAGATCTCTAGCTACTGGTTGGGGTAGTCGTTAGCCAGGACACCCCGAAGGATGGTCCTGGTCCTGGTATTAACTCTACACTTCCCAGACACTCCATGTATGCCATATGTGCCTACATTGGGGAGGCTTGGGGGGGTCAATGGGGCGGCATATATGCTATACATGGAGTGTTTGGGCTTGGTGAAAGCATCCCATGGCTACGTGGATGGCTACGCGGCCGCCATCAGTGCCATCCACGTTGGCCCATGGATGAGAAATCAGGGACTGGAGCCCGGATTTCGTCGGAAGTACGGTGGCTGCGCACCGGAAAATCATCTCCACTGGTCACCAGTGACTTCACTTGGAATGGGCGGCCTCTCAGGACTGAGCGAAGCTATTTGGCACAACTCTTGGCTTGAATTCCATGTGGCGATTTTGATGCAAATCCACACTGTTTGCCACATAGACTTTGGAATCCTTGCACCACGAGTTCTGAGCAGGTCTACTCTCACCACCTCTCACCTGTGCCTGGCCCTCTATCGTGTGTGACAGGAGGATACCAATTCACCTCCCACTGCCACCTCCCGTGCCAAACCCTGTGTCTGTCGCCACTTCCCCGGTATCGGCCTGCCATCAGCCTGGCAACGGCAGGCTGATGCTGTCACGAGTCGCTGCACTCGTCTCATCCCGGGATATACTTTGCCGGATCATCCCAGACTTGGCTTAAACAACATCGGAACACCCTGAGTTTTGTAAGTTTTCCGTCGATGTTCCGACCAATCCAATGACTTGTTCCGTCGCGGCCATTCTTTTTCGCGGCCGCCACACAGGAGCCGCGGGGTTCGCCTTCACTTCCTGGCAAAGCAAAGAGAATTGCAGGAAGCTTCGAGTGATTCGAGTGAAATGACAAATACCGCAGCAAAAAACGTTCCAGCTTCTTCAGTTTGTGACCAAACGACCCAAAGTCCCTGGTTGTGACCCTTTCCGGGCCTGTTTGTGACCTCAAACCAGGGGATCAAGAGGTCACTTTGATGAACCAGGTTGACATCAAGTTGTATATCCTACGATTTAAACTATGGAATTCGATCGTTACCTCACAGACTTTGTCGCCAAAGGGATTGGGTCGTTGCCATGTTTTTCATAAGTCGCCAGTCTGTGGTGCATGCTGCATGCTCCAGGTGGTGAAGGATCTTGCTCAACAGAATGATTGCTTCATAACGTCCAGTGCACCACTGTCAGCACCACTCAACGGGTGGCTGTATATTGGATGGAAACAACATGGTCAGGAGCTCTCCTTTTCAGGCTACCCTTGAGGTTCTAAGAACCCATGCATCATCTCATCTCATCTGTTACGAACCGTATGTCATGTCATCGTCTTCGGTTCGCTGAAACCGACAAATCCAGAAGACGCCCTGGTTGGGTCACACCGAGCTGGTTGGGTCACCATTGCTTTTCCGGGCCCGATGACATCCCATGGAAAAAGGTTCTTTGGGTTCGGGTACGGGTTTTTTGAGGATTACAATGGACTACATCCCATTCTCAGCTTATCAATTCTTCACAAACACATGCTTCATTGGTCATGGGGTGTGGCGATGTTGATGGGCCGTGAGCAAAGGCCGCAAGCTTCCGGTAGATGGTAGAAATCCAACTTCCACCCGAAAGCACCCAATTACATCTATACACTGTGAATGACTAGATAAACATGGACGAACCCCTGTCTATATCCCATGTTGTTTCATGGCGCGAGACTCATGTGCTGGCTGGGGCACAGCTGCGCAAGTCATCGTAGGTGAAGATCCATTGTGCAGGCGAGGACGGACTGGGCTTCAGCAAGGATCCTTAGAGAACAAACGAAGTTCTAACCGCAACGGTCTGGCATCCTAGAATCGGCATCATACATGAAAGGGTAAGGGATCAAAAAAACTAAAATAGAATCAAAAAAAATCAACGGGGATCAATAAGAAAAATAAAAAGGGAATCAAAAAAATATTCTAGCCCACTGAGGATGGTTGGGCTAGTAGCAGTAGCGGCAGCAGGATTAGGAGACCAAGGGAAGAGGATGGAAGGAGTAGGTGACTAGGAGAGTGTACCTCCCTAGGAGCTCCTTCCTAGTAGGGAGCTATTTCTACTGGTGAACCATTTTTCGAGTACAAGAGACCAGCGGACCAGGAGACAGAAGGACCAGGATACCAGGGGACCAGCGGACCACAGGACCAGAGGACCAGGAGACCGGAGAACTAGGGGACCAGTGGACCAAAGGACCAAGGGACCAGGGGACCAAAGGACCAAGGGACCTTATTACCCGCAGACCACAGGGCCAGGAGGCAGCAGAAGAGGCCTATCAAGGAATATGGTTTTATTGATGCGATTGTTTTTTATACCTATGCCATACAAGAATTCCTACCTTGCCTCTCATCTCAAAACTAGCCAAAAGGCAAGAATTGTGCTGAGTTGGTAGGTCCAGGTATGGGAAAGTTCCCCCCCACCAAAAAACAATTGGGGAAAGTCTTCCCATGGGATCTACCATCCACAGTGACTTCCGTTTGCAACTCCGAATTGTTTATACTCCTGTGCATTGTGCATCCACTTCAATATCACAATTTGATCCCTTGCCATGTCCGAGAGACAAAGCAAATGGAAAACAACCAGAACTTATTTTTGGGGCCAGCATGCATCCGCGGCCAAAGTTCCAGGCCTTCTGTTCATTTATGTTCATTTCGAGCTCCACTTTCCTCCAGCCTCCAGTTCCTTCGCCTCGTAGGTCAAACCACGCGAACTCCGCTCGCGCGCGCGCGCGCGTGGTCCGCCAGGGGTCGGTAGACCTCCGGGGCCTCCAGGACCGAGGTCTTGCGGCTTGGGATCCAGGCCTAGCGCCAGGCGGCCGGATCGGGCGAAGCCAGGACTGATGTCAATTGATGTCAACTGGTGATCCAAGCGGCAACATCCGGAGAAGCTCAAGAAAAGGACACTCTCTTCTTCAGGACGGATGAATTTCCTACTAAGATCTTCCCCAAAAAAAAAATAACGAACAACACAAAAAAATACTTACCAGCACCCTCACTGCCAGGTCTTTGCTTGAGGGATCTTGAGGATTTGGAGCCTTAGGTCACCTCTTGGGAGGCTCAGTCGATCCCAGCCGTCGTGCGCCTCCGGATGCAGCTCTCCTCAGATGAGCAAAACGAGCTGAGGACCGGATCCTCTGGTCGGACATATCCAAGAGGAGTCACAAACCCCGACGCTCCATGGGACTGCCATAGGACTGCCGATCAATTGATCAAATTGAACCTGCAGACTACCCTGCGCTGAGCTTCTTCGGGATCTCCATTGATCTCCATTGGGCCGCACCCTTATGATTCAAGGATTTCGGTCGCAAATTCAGACACAAGTACCGAACAGGCGCCACAAGCAAAAAGCTCTAGAAAAAAACACAGTGCTTGTCGCTGGATGGAACCCCGCCCAAGCTCAACAGGAAGCCCGGAAAGAAACATAGCATCCAAGCGAAACCGTGCAAAACCCGACGTTGTTCCAAGCATCACACCCAAAGCCAAGAACCAATCCGTAATTCGACGCCTTTCAAACTCTTCACTTAAATTAAAGACTTCCAATTTCGGATAGTTGAAGATTTGGGTCTCGAACTTGCTGCCTGACCGACCTTCATGTGCTGCCAACATCTGCCAACCAAAAAAAACATCACGAGGTCTTCAGGAAACACCGAAGTACCCCCGCAAGGGGTAGAGGTCATTTAAACAAAATATGGAAAATGAGGACCTAACATGACCTAACCCCCTCCCCATTGTATAGAGGACATGGCCGGTGGAAAATTTCGAAGTATCTGACCAGGTGTCGAAGCATCTCCCACGCCAGCTCAGCCCTCCGCTGCTTGCTCCAGCGCGTGGAGAGGGCTCCACTCACGCGACTCACCTCGACGGCGAGGCGATGGCGCGGCACGACGGGCGGTGACAAGGCGACACATGTCTAGAGAGCTCAGGGCGGTTCCGAAGCAAACCAGCACCGGTCAGGTTAGGCTGATGGAATGATTATGATTCGACGCACACCAGCACCGGTCAGGTTGGATGGCTGGTTGGATGATTGATGCTGCACCCATCGGCACCTGACATCAGGTGCAAACCTGGACATGGCTGACCTGGCGGGTGCTGGTAGATAGTCCTCCCAAAGAACCAAAAACCGCCGATCCAACGTGCACCTGCCTGCCCGTGCCTGGCGTCCGCGCGTGCTCCGCGCCTGCGAGGCAACCAAGGTCATCTCCGAGCGATGGAAGCGCAAATCCAAGGGCAGGAGCACCTCCTGGTTCGGATCGAATCGAATCGCGCGGCGCTTCCCGTCTCGCCGGCGTGGTTCGTCTGGCGCGCTCTGTTCTTCTCGGAGGGCTTCGTCGCAAAGCGATCCGCAAAGGGTGAAGATCAAGGACACCCTGGAAGGGACCCACACTAGTAAGGGGTTGGGGAACTCCCTGTAGCTCCGAATCGCTCCCTCCTGGGCTAGCTAGCAGCTAGCACATGGAACCTCAACATGGACCTTTGGAAGACTCATGGAACCAACCACCACGTACTGTGCTGCAGGATCCGAGTGAGACTCCGTCCGACTGGACTCTGCTCAATGGTCCATGATGGTCCATGATGGTCCATGTTCCATGTCTGAGGATGGATTTGAGGATGGAAGAAAATGGCCAAGAAGGCTCGTATAGGCTGACGTCCAACTGCGTGCACTGAGTGCACGGGCATTAGAGATCAGATTGCATCAGTCCCCCAAAACACCACCGATGGCACCATCGGGGGTGGTGTCAGGGGTCTCAAGAGCTCCAGGAGCCGTCACCCCAAGTCCCACTCCATGGTGCCCATGCTTTGGACATCTCGACCATCGGATCAGATCGTCGCGCACTGGTGTGGCTCGATCTGTGGAGGAAGAGCACCGTGACATGGAAAAAAACAGTCGGTCCGTCTTCCCGGCGTCTTCCCGGCACCTTGGAATAGAGCGAGCCAATGACCACTTTGCCACCTCGCTGCGGCCAGGTGGTTCCAGGGGAAGGACACGTCCGGAGGTTCACGGACGTTCCAGGGGATCGACGCCCGTGGCCGTGTCCGAATCCACATTCCCACGAAACCATCCGGCAAAAAGAGCCTTGAATCCCAACAACTAACGCGTAGACTTGGACCGAAACCTTGGCCGCCTTGGCCTTGCGCACGTGCCGTCAATCCGGGCACGCCAAACCCACGAACGCACTGCTCCCCAAAACAGAAAACACAAAAGCGGGGAAGGGAAAACAGGAAACTGGGAAGGGGACTCCCTCAACAGGGAGAAAAGAAGGAACTCAAGGAAAAAAGAGTAAAAAAATGATTTAAAAAAACAGTGAAGAGAAAGCACGCTTTACCCCCGCTAACCCCGCTTACCCCCTGCCCCGCCTCTGCGGGTCATTTGCACTGCCTGCGCCAAGGCCTCTCCAGAACCACTCAGCTCGAGCGCCACATCGAAGGCACCGTGCTCGGGAGACCCCGCTCCGGCGGTCACACCGCAGAGTTGAGGGAAGCGTTGGCGCAAGGCCTGGTCGGCCACGCCGTGGCACCACGGAGTGGATCAGAGACCAATTCCCAGACACGACCAACAGAGGTTCAGGGGTACCTATGGGATAGTCTATAGGGTCATTCAACCTCTGTTGGGACCCGAACCTGCCACTGCCGAGAATCGGACTGCCGAGAAAACGGGCGTTCGGGGTGGTGGTGGTTTGGGGGTCTGGATGGGTCTGGCTTGATCGGCAGTCCGTCCTGGCAGTCCCATTCGTCGTGTCTGGGAATTGTTGGAAAGGGTGAAATGGTGGAGCCTGGCCCTGTGTGCGGCTCGGGCTCTATGATTCAATTGCTTTTGTCTCGTGTCAGAGAATGCTGAGCTCATCACGGGCGGGGCATGAATGTGAAAAAGAACGCCTCTCCCTAAGCCCAATATATCCAGGCAAAGCACTATAGTAGGCACGAGTAGCCACCGGCTTCAAAGACCAAAAACTTCACAGTACAGTAGACCGAACGAACCTCGGGTTCCTTACTACCTCGCTTATTATTACTACTCGTGGAATTCCTGCGGTCGCCGCAGCCTCAACACGTTCAAGTTGAGGATCGAAGATGGTCACATCAAAGCCACCACGCAGCCTTAAGGGATGAAGAAACATCCACAACGGGACCTCTGTCTGGGATGGAAAATGATGAAATGCCGGCAACTTCATCGAAAAAGACCCCTGATGATACCTTTATTTGTTTTTGGCATTGAGATCCATTTGAACAACTTTCACGTCCTGTCTGGATGATAGCCACTTGATTCCAACATAAGGAGCAATACAAATATGAATAGATAGTCCAGTGAATCACCCTTGGAACTGTATGGGATGACGCTATGAATGTTCCATCTCTGTATGGGATGACGCTATGAATGTTCCATCTCTGTGTGTAAATCACTGTAACGATCAATCATTCGGGAGAACGATCGCAAAGGTCTGCCGTAGGCAGTTGATACTCGATGTCGTCTATCAATGGAACTCTTAGCACGGCGGTCATTGGGGAATTCATGAAGTATATGAAGTCATGTACTTGTATTTGCTGATTCGGAAGCCGGAAAAAACGAAACTATGACCCATTTGTTGGAAGTGCTGGTTCTGTGGATTTGTCATGTTTCAATAGGGGGAACCCCTTACCCATTGGTTGGCTTTCCGTCTTCCAAAGGGTCCAACTGGGGAGCTCTCCTATATCATATAATTTGAATATATATATATATATATACCCATGTATATATACCCATACCGATGGTCGACGGCCAGCACCTCAAGTACCATCACCCCTCACTGCCACAATCTTTTCGACCTGTAGATGCCGGCCCAACACCCCACCTTCGAACGAGGAGACCTGGCAGTGACGGTGCGTATCAGGTGTTTTTTTTAGATTTTCGGGTGGGCAATGGAGACCTGTAAGTAGGATAGGGTAGTCTATTGGACACCCAGACAGGATTATCCTGGTACCCCTCAGAGTTCACCTCCTCAAAGGTTCCAACCGCCTATGATGGCTCATGGCCCTCCGGTCGGCACGGCCCCGAACCAGTCCACAAGAACCACTCCTCTGGATGTAGACGGTTGAATCAAGTCCCCCCTTCTCAGAAGGGTGGTCCATCTCCGGTCCTTGGGCTTGGTGGATGAAGCCCTACAGTTCCAAACACCCAGTGAAACCTGGTCATTTTTGACCTCAATTGAGTCGAGTGCTTTTCCCAAGTTGGCGACTATGAGAATTTGAATGAGCTGGCTGCGCGCGCTTTCGAGACGGGCGGAGCTGGTGCTGGTCCTTACGAAGTGACTTCTACATGAAATCTCAACCAATAGCGCCTACCAGGACCCTCCGTTCGTGGTGTCGACTTATAGCCCCAAAACAGCTGTGATTCGGGGTGTCCATGACAACCACCCAAACTGGGGGTCCTGGTGCCATCTGCCTGCTCTGCCTGCGTTCATTGCTCGACCTGCCGAGGGTCGAACCGCCCCCCCCCAGTCCCGTCCCAGGCGCAGCACCGCAGCGGTGAGCGCCCCCACCGTGCCGGCGCCCCAAAGGGCGACCCGCTCCCCGAGGACCGGAGCGGCGTCCTGGCCTTGGGAGGCCGAGCCGGTGAGCTCCGAGCCCCCGAAGCCCGCGCCAGTCAAGGAGGGGGAGGTGGCTTCTGGAGGCTGAAGGTGACCTCCTATTCTTGGAACCAGCCCACCACCGCAAAACCACCACCTGTTCTTATCAAGACAGGAGTCAAAAGGCGGTTGGAATCCTATAGGACCTCTAGGATCATCCTTTCTGAAGGACTGCCCGGCGTCTGGACATGGGAAGTCACCTCCCGTCAGAAGGCCTTGGAAGGCTGGCGGGGCATCTGGAACGATCAGTACTCCCCCGTTGCATCGACATTACTCCTAATCAACTGATCAGAAGGAGAAAATTCCTGTCGGGGTGCCATTAACACTTTTAATGCGCTTTGGACTCCCAGGGCAAGGGAAGTAATAATTAATTGCCTCTATCAACTTCGCTACAATCACACACGGTCAACGGAAATGCACCTGGGATCTGTCGGAGCCCAACCTTCATAGCGCAGCTGAGCAGCACAAGGAGCAGGCAGTCTCCATGTTTGCGAAGAACACGGCGCCCTCGTCCGTGATGTCCTCGAGATCATCGGCCAAGTGCATTGCACTATGCATTGCTGGCATCTCTAAAGGACTCTAAGATCTCCGTTCGAACAAACCCAAATGTCAATTGGTGTGGCACTCCCGAAAACACCAATACTAGGACCACTGTCGGGGTGGTTAATGGACACCCCTTAACCTCTAAGGGGCTATCAATAGACACCCCTTACGGCCTTAGGGTGTCCTGGTAGGCAGCCCTTTCCCACCCAAATCCCGGTCCCCTCTCCCCGCCTCCGGGATCAGCTGCAAGGCGTCCTCCTTGACCGCCACATGGCTCGCGTGCGGCGCGAAGGCGAAGACGCGGCGCCGCCCGGTGTCTTCGACCGTGGAGCCCACGAGGCAGTAGCCGTACCTGTGAAAGGTCGAGCCGCCCGGGGGTGGCTGGGGTGGGAGCCCTCGAAGGATTCTTTTTCGCGCGCAGCCGCGGACGCATGATACACATGTGCATGCAAGGAGGCGAGGGGCCGGGACGCTTTGTGGGGGGCGAGGTGGGACGGGTTGGTCGGCTGCCGAAGAATCAGGGATTGTGAGGAGATGGCCGGATGGAAAGCTAGTGGACTATTATGACCCCCCCCCATAGGCCCAATGGCAGAGCAATGCCAAAAATAGATCCGTTGATCAATTACTTACTTAAACATCTTTAAACGCTGCCCAACTACAGGAAAAAGAGTAACGATATACGTAGGCGGAAAAGTTGGGGAGATAACGAGCAGGGATGGTTTGGGTTGGACATGGACCGCCGCAGGCAGAGTTCATTGAGAAACGCACCGGGCTTTAGATCCATCGGGTGGATCATCGGCACTTACCCTCCCTGAAATCATCCTGCCCAGACGCGACCCTGGGCCCTCATATGGAGGGGTCGGACCCTCATATGGAGGGGTCTGGGGTCTCAAATCCCTAGGGTTTTGAGGTGCCAAGAGCTGTTTGGAGCGTCTGGGTGGAAGTGGAACACCGCCTCTTAGGTATTTGGATGTGTTCGGAAGATGCTCATCCGAAATCGGGGCCTTGCCGTCATGCCATGCCATCCCCTTGATGATTTCAGTGAATGTAGCACTCTTGGCTCGTAAACGACCCCATTTGGATTGAACACCTCTTTGTGTGGGGGGTTCTTAATATTTCTTAATCAAGACCCTAGAAGTCGAACCACCATTGTTTTAATAGCCTTTAATTACCGAACAACCATTGTTTCACTAAGGGGCTTACACTACAAAACCAAAAAAATGAACCTTTTTTAAAATGGTCTTTGACTTCCAGGGAAGAGTCTAGAGAAGTCCAGAGTCTACATTGACCTTTCTACTCCTCCCTCTCAAAGCAGGCTCACCTCATGGGCCATGTGCTCTCGCCCATCGACAGCGTAGCGTCCAGCGGCTCGTCGCCCGGACCATGCAGCAGCATCCGCCTGACGCCGCGAAAGCGGATGAAAAGTCTGGCTTGCCCTGACTCGCGAGCCGGAGACCTGACTCGCGAGCCGGAGACCAGACTCGCGAGCCGGAGACCAGACTCGCGAGCCGGAGACCTGACTCGCGAGCCGGAGACCTGACTCGCGAGCCGGAGACCAGACTCGC